AATCCAACCAAAATTCCCTGAGGAATTTTGGGATCAGCACCTCAGCTTCTCAGCGACTCAAATGCCTGCTGGAATTTTTCGGGATTGATTCCCGCCCATCCCTGATTTTTTTTTCCCCAGGACGCCGTTCCACGCCGACGTCTTCCGCTCTTACAGCTGGTCAGCCAACATCTGTGGCAGGAAGAGATGGCTCCTGTATCCCGCGGGACAGGAGGAATTCCTGAAGGATCGCCACGGGAATCTCCCCTTCGACGTGACGGCTCCGGATCTTCGGGATAAGAGGATTTATCCGCGCTACAGCCAGAGCCAGCCCCCTCTGGAAATCCTCCAGGAAGCCGGAGAGATCGTCTTCATTCCCAGTGGATGGCACCACCAGGTTTATAACCTGGTGAGGGAATGGATCCCGCTGGGAATTGCTCTTGGAACGGGAAGTGGGATCCCAAGGGTTTTGTTGGGGTGGATGGAAATCGGGATTTCCAGGGAAAAGGTTGATCCTTTCTCCTGGGTGATGTTGGGATGGAGTTGAGGCCTTGGAGTTGTTGAAGAGAAGCTCCATTCCTGGAAGTGTCCAAGGATAGCTTGGATAAGGCTTGGAGCACCCTGGGAGAGTGGGAATGGGATGGTCCTTAAGGTACTTCCCACTCAAACCATTCCAGGAATTCCACGGCATGGAATTGGGGCGAGAAGGAGGAAGAACCCAGGATAAAGGAAAAGATGGAAATCCTTGCCAAGAATAAGGAATTCCAGCTTGGAACACCCTGGGATAGAGGGAATGGGATGGTCCTTCCCACTCAAACCATTCCAGGAATTCCATGGCATAGAAATTGGGGCGAGGAGGAGGAAGAACCCAGGATAAAGGAAAAGATGGAAATCCTTGCCAAGAATAAGGAATTCCAGCTTGGAACACTCTGGGATAGTGGGAATGGGATGGTCCTTAAAGTCCTTTCCCACTCAAACCATTCCAGGAATTCTATGGCATAGAATTGGGGTGAGGAGGAGGAAGAACCCAGGATAAAGGAAGAGGAAAAGATGGAAATCCTTCCTGAGAAGAAGGAATTCCAGCTTGGAGCACCATGGATAGTGGGAAGTGTGGGATGGGATGATGGAATGGGATGATTCTTAAGATCCCTAAAGATGGGAATTTTGGAGTGGCACATTCCATATTATCATTCCTAATGACTTAATTAGTGACTAATTATCC